GCGAGAGTAGGAGACGAGCGACGAGGAAGAGTAGGGGAAACGTGAGGAGGGTGTCACGTTTTCGTGGCATGTACACGTGAAATTGGTGCATCGAACAATGTTGCACTTTCGGGGAACAGCTGCGATGCGTTCTTCGGGTGTCGAGAATTCGGGTAAAGAGTGAAACTTACCTGCTTGTGCATCTCCACGTTTAGGCCGTACGACATCTCGTAATACTGCAACAGAGAAAGCGAACGTGGGTTGAGAATGTACGTATACATACGACAGTAACGATAAATGGTAATTTTTTAAACGGTTAATTGTTAGTTGAGAATAACGACTAGAGAATTTAACACGCATTTTTATTTATGATTTTATTTTCACGAAAGAAAAAAAAAGGAAAATAAACGACGCTCGTTTAAAGTTCAGCCTCTGAAGAACGGAATGTCGTGTGAAGATAGGTTTTTTTCAAGCGTTATTTTCAGCACAACGATGAATTAATGTAAATGAAGCGTCATGTGCCAGATACGGTCCGTTATTCCAAAAAATATATTCCTGCATTACGTATAATGGCATTATACAGCCATTCCATCATTTTGAGGCTTTAAGTCGAAATAATGAGCGGCAATATGTTGCATAATGCCTAGTACCGTGTTTTTCCAATGTACCGTACACTACGTGAAAAATAACGTATTCACTCGCATCGTGGCTTCGGGAGACCTAACAGGAAGCAGTGAACACTTCACACTCGCGTAATCTTCCTTATTTTGCATCGTAACTTATCACACTTGACGAATTTCAGACGAGATCAATAGGAAAGTAAAATGGAAAAAGTGGCCGAAAAAAGGAAAGCTTAATTCCCCTATAAATGTTTCACAAGGTAGGCATCGTAAGGAGAAAATGGAGGATTTCTTATCCAATTTGAAAGGACAACAAGCCCTGAATGGAAAGCTATATAGTATATAATTCCCTATCGGGCGTTACGACACCAGCCAGAGGGAAACTCCTAGAGCCTTCCGATGGCTGGAAGTGTCTTTCATCGGCTATCAACGGTCGGTCGTTAGCGGGACCGCGAAGAGGCGGTCATAATTGCGGTAAACGAGCATTTTACCGAAGAGACCGTTTTGTAGCGTCATTACTTAACAGTCAACTCCGGCCACGGCGGCGGCGGTCATTTAACATCGCGTCCGTACCCGATGCAGCTCCGCGTCTCTTCACCGCCGGCAATTTAACATCATTTGCCAGATTTGTCCGTGTCTTCCTTCGTTATTTCGACGTTGTTACTTTTTCTCTCTTTCTCAACTCTTTCTCCCTTCTTCGTCGTGTATCTTCTTTCTCCTTCATCTTCTTCTTCTACCTCCTCTCTGTCCCCTTATTATTTTTCCTTCTTCCCTTTTCTCTTTTTCAAGCTTCCTTCTAGCAGGGAGAGGCATCACCTGGCCACAGCCACCGCCTCCTTGCACATCCACGTCATTAACATCTCCCGGTACCATTAATCTCGAGAACGAGCGGCGGTGCGCACGGGCTGAACTATATCTGGCCCTCTCGGCATGCGGCTCTGCACTTTCCGCGGTAACGCGTTATTAATTATCGTTAATCGTGATAAACTTAATCGAGTCTAGTCGAGTACACTCCAGAGACAGAAGCGAACGGGAGGACGGTTGTATACTGGGTGTCCCGCGATGGGTATTGATCACGTGCAGTAGGTACGATACTTTGGGAAAGGGTTGGAAATTTCGAACAGTACTTTCTTCTCTAATACATTATTTTTGGACAAGTGAACTTTGATTTTAATTCGGTATCGTTATCGTGTTGTATCATTTCTAATTTCTATCGCTATGATGGTCTAAAGTGACGATTTTCAGAACTAACGCAACTATTTCACTCGTACTCGAACAGTTACTTCTCCCTCGTTCACGTGTCAACTTTCGAACACCCTTTATGCACCTTCCGCGCGCGAGAGTGACCCAGAAGGTAAGAGGAAGGCAGAGAACGATAAAGATAGCTTTAGACAGAGACAGAGAAGCAACCCATCGGAGAGTGAGGAAGAGGAACGAGGAGGGTAGCAAGCAGAACGCGTGCAACACGCTCGAGCCAGGTACAGGTTCTTAATTTTACGGACCATTAGCCCCGTAATTACACGGGCGAATTAATTGCGTCGTAAGTAAGTTATTCCACCCGAGGGAGAAGGGGGTAAAGCGAGCCACCGAGGATGGAGAGGAAGGAAGGAAGGAAGGAAAGGGGTGGAGAGAGAGAGAGAGAGAGAGAGAGAGTGGAGGTTGAGGAAACGATGGTTGGAAGAGGGGCAACCAGAAACGAAGAGGGCAGGAAGCACAGGTTGTTAAGATCAACTGCAGCCAGCAGGAACCGGCAGCGACGATCAGCAACCGGGAGCAACCAGCAGCCCTTAGAGTAGTAGCGCACTCTCTGGACCAACTTCCGCGACTCATTATGGCTTGCACAACAAATTAACGTGACGGGCCTCGACCCCTGTACACCGGCGTCCTTAACGTGGCGCTTGTTAATGAACTCGACAAAGAGAACGAGAAAAAGCATGCGATCTCCCTCGATTCCCCACCATCTCTCTTTCTCTCTTCCTCCCCCTAACCCTTCCACCTCTTTTTCTTCTTCTTCTTCTTCTTCATCCTACTCGTCGTCGTCGTCTCCGTCGTCTCCGTCGTCGTCGTCGTCTTCTTCTGGTACTGCTCTCTCTCTCTTTTTCTCTTTCGTTGGTCGGTGCTCTCTGGCTTGGCACCGACATCCCACCGAGATGTACTCTGTACACGTCGTTTAAGCGAGTTAACAAGCGGTCTTTTGTTAGAGACCTGGCCTTTTTTACTGCCGCCGGTACTATTGCTCGAACAGCTCTCCGAGAGGGAGAGATCTTGTTAGGGGGGATAAATGATCGGGCCAAGGCGTGCCGGAGGTGTAATTCAGCCCGACAAATTTTTATTGACCGGCCGGGTGAACTCGATGGAAATCGATCGGTCGCCCTTCGCTGAGCCACCGAGAAGAGGTTGTTAGTTAAGTTGTGCTTGGCAGGTTTTCGTAGGGTAAGATGA